AAACTGAGGCTAAAATTATTGCCGCAGAAAAACAAGTGAACGAAGACAACTGGAACCAAATACAAATGTACAGTTTGCAACAAGAGCTGGACGCCGACTGTGAATTGTTGATGTGGTTCTTCAGAGGAAACTTCGAAAATTGTGAAAGTAATACTGCCAGAAAAATTGTGACCAATATGTACGATGAAAAGCTGATGTCGAACGCAGGAACTCAGACTGTTGCATCTAAAGCCAAGCGATTCCCAAAGAATGACTGTTGCACCTTGCTTTGACTCTAAACCACTTGCAGTACAAAACTAGCCAACAATAAAACTCACTTTGCAACCTTCATTAGATTAGAACTTCATTCATACTCTGCTTTTTAAAAATGAAAGTTAGATTTAATTTTTGTAAAATAATATTAAATTCAATCATGATCCATTCTTTTAAAATCTGTGTTCAGACTTAAAAGTTTTAGTTAAACCATTTTTTATCAGGTTGCTAGAATGAATTTGCCAATAAAGTCAGCCTCGCACAACCTTGTTTCAACAGATCCGTTTGTTCTACTTCTCAAGCATCTCAAGTAAAAACAATGAGAGCCGGTTACTGTGTAAGGAGCACATAATGCTCTAACCATAGTCTTGAAAAGTACAACATTTTTTTTTCAATTTAGTGTCGTTTTTGGTGCGTGGTGTGATAAAAGATTCCGAACGAAAATCTGGAGCTTAGGCAGATTCGACAGTGATAGTAAATCAGCCAACTGGACAGCAGTTTTGTAGAAAAATGACTAGAAAAAAATCAAAAGAGTTCCAAAAGTATCCAAAAGACTATTTTTTCTCAAGTTATTACATTAAGCTTTTGTAAGCTTTTAAACTATTAGAATGAAATATTGTAAACCTGTTCTCTTTCTCGCTTCATTCGCTCTAATTAAGATTATATAACAAAAGTTTTTACCCGTTTTGTCTCAATATTGGGACATTTTTTCGAAACATTTTTTAAAAGTTGTTCGGATTACGACTGAAGACGTTTTAATACAATGTTTCCCTCAACCCATTCCAATAACTAGTTTTGGTTATTCATTGCACGTGGAACACAAAAACCATAAAAACTAAAATACACACGTATCCTAAATTTTCCCCCACTTTTCGAGAAGCCGAAAAAAAAAGAAAAAAAGCAAAAATCAGTCTATCGAAAGAAAATTAGTTCAAGAACATTTTTTTAAATTCAAACAAGAGTCGTGGAGAAGAAAATTTTTGTTACAGTAATACTTCCGAAAAATAATTCCTCAAAAAAGAATACAAAAAATCTTATAGAAAACAAGACTGTTCGTATCAGGACAAAACCGTGAAAGTTTCGACTGCCCATTAGGTGGTCTCGAATCGTTTCTGGTATATGAAATTATGGCAAACTAAAAATTTTATGCTGATCAAAGTTTAAAAGAGTAAGTCGTTTATAGAATAAGTAAGATCAATTAGCTTGCCTCAATTCAATTCGGAACGATTAGGAGTACGGATAATTTGCCACGCATAAACATTTCGCGTATTGAAACAAACTATCAAAGTTTTATTCCCGCAGCAACAATTGCCCTTTAATCTAGAGCAAGCCTACTCCCGTGAGAATCCCAAGATTTTCGGATCGATGCCCCTACGCACTCAACTTTTCTGAAATCTGTCTGAATGCAAAATAAATAATCCGTGCATATAGATTCCTCAATTTCTTTGAAAGTCAGAACAATAATCCAAAAAAAAACATATTAAGAAAAGTTAATAAATTTTGAAGGGTATCCATATATAATAAACACCGTACACTGTTAGGCATCATTTTTTCCTGGTGCTCAGGAAAAAGCTTATAGATCGAGCAACAGGTTCGGATGTAACACCACGGCAGACTATTTTGCAGCCAAGGAACAGTTATTTATATAGCAAGTTACTATTTACTTACTTGTAAAAAGAGTTCGTCGGGAAAAAAGACCAAAGATGACAGAGCCAACTTCGCTGACTGGCTATGAATTACCTCTGGCCCTACAAGGTATTTTGTACCTCTAGCTTACGCTTCAATTCCCGACAAGAAGGAATCAACTTATTTTCGTCACCTCAGTGATCTATGAGTTGAGTCCCCAAAACAACTTATAATTGATTTTGAAGTAGCTGTGCTAATTTTAATCACGGCTACACATTAAAGCTCTCAAATTCACTTTTACTTGTTTCATATAAGTCAAAGTGTCAAGTGATATGTTTACTGCCTGGAAACTCTCACAATCACAACAATGATTTTGCGTTTTGCGAGCTTTATTAAATTTGACAAAAAAAGATCAAAAATTTGTTTATTTTTGGCAATTCAATTGCACGGACTAAGAGCTTCATCACCGACAGATCTGGCATCAAGTCGGTTATTTAAACATATTCTTGCCCACAAAAAACACATAGTAGTTTCCGTTTCTTGTAGAAGAATTACGGTTGACGCAATTTGAGAGACTTTCATTCAACCGAGAGTCTAAATCATTCAAACTAGGAATAGTAGAAAACAAGTTTCCGTTGATTACATCCCAAAAATTGTAAAAGCCCACGTGAAAATCATTTGATCTTGTTTTTCGAATATATTAGATCAAAACATAATTTTTTGTAATTCTGCGAGAGCAGGAACAAAAAAAATGTTTGAATTTGAATTTTTGCTTACGCAAGCTAAGAGCTTGATCACTAACTGATCTGGCAGCAGGGAGGTTAGTTAAGCTCACTTGGCGACTTAAAACACATAATAGCTTCTGTTTCTGGCGGAGCATTTACGGTTTACGCAAATTGAAAGAGTTTCGAGTCTAAACTATTCAACGTAGCAATAGTAGAAAGCAAGCTTTTGTTATTACCGTCCCCAAAATTGTAAAAACCACTGTGAATATCGATTGAACATTTTTTTTCGAATGTAGTAGATCAGAGCCAATAACAAAAAGATATAATTTATTCTTACGGACTACTGATAAAGCTGATCCACTTCAGTGGCTTCGCAGAACCAAAACAGGCTGTATGTTAGAATTCTCCACTCGGAATTTTTGCGGTTCGTATTTTATCTGCTCAAGAAACTTTCTTGTTGTAATTTTATATCGTCATTAAAATGAATACACGAAAACGACCAAAAAATTTTTTATTGTTCTTTTTTGAACACAAATAGTTTTTGGAATTTGCGAAAGCAGGAACAAAAAATGTTTAATTTTGAATTTTCACCTACGCAAGCTAAGAGCTTAATCATCAACTGATCTGGCAGCGGGGAGGTAATTTAAAATCACTTCGGGGAGGTAATTTAAAATTACTCTCCAACTTAAAATACATAATAGCTTCTGTTTCTTGCGGAACAATTACTGTTGACCATTCAAAGTAGAGCTTAAGCCATTCACAGTAGGAATAGTAGAAAACAAGTTATCGTTGATCCAACCCAAAATAGTGAGAGCCAACGTGAAAACCAACTGAACATTTTTTTTTTCGTTTATAGTAGATTAGAACTAAAAACAACATATTTTTTATTTTACGGACCACAAAAAACTCGATCCACTTCAGTGGTTTCGCAGAACCAAAAGGGTCTGAATGGAGGAAAACTCCAC